TGGGGACCTGGTACAGACACGGAAATGCAGTGGTGAAATCACCCTGTGTGTGACGAATGTCAGCTGACAACAGAGCACAATCCAAAAATAAGTGTATACCTACTGCCTTCTCTGTGTCTGGCACTTCTGTGAGTCCTGGAGCAGGCAAGTTGAATGAGGTCCTGTCCTGACATCACTGAACCCACACTCCCAGTCTAGCAAACAGGAAGGATTTGAAAGGATGATGCCAGGAATGAAGTACTGCCTACCATATGCACAGCTCTGGTATATAGAGAGAAACAGGGAGAGGGAGAACCTTTATATTAGATAGTAAGCAAAAATCTTCATGAGCAGGTAGCTGAGCAAGGGAGCTCACCTCAGGGCTAATGGCAAAGAAGATGTGTGAGGTACCCGGTTAAAGGGCAGTCAGGGTAGGTTTGAGAAGACAATGCAGAGGACATTTTCTTGGGTGGAGGAACAAGAATCTCCTACAGAATATAAAGACAGTCAGGAGCCAGATAAAGGGGAACTACATTCTACAGAGATTGCAGGACAAGTTTAGTTTAAAAAAAAAAAAGAAATTCGAGCGTTAGCTGCTGAGAGAAAAATAAAGCCCAGATGGTAAGTGAAAACAGAGATGTCAAAAAGGGTTGTAGTTACTGGGGTCGAGGTGTGGTCATGTGTTTATGTAAATAAGAGGACTGGCGGATGGATGGCACCGACAGAAAGGAGAGACCAGACCTGCCGGGCGGACTCAGGGTGAGGATGCATTTGGCCTGCATGTGGGGAAGAAAGCTGAGCTCGGTTTTGTTCAAATTTTTGATGAAGTGTCTGCGGTGTAAGAGAAGAGGCTTGGGACACAGGCAGAACTACAGCTCTGATGGAAAAAAAAAAAGGAGAGGTAATGAATTGTAGTTGAAAACAAGAGCCTTTTGGCAAAAAGGAGACAGTTACCAAGAATACTCAAATAGGTAAAGTCAAGGTAAAAACACTGAAGATAACCTTGATAAGAAAAGAAGCAAATGAGAGACAAAGAGGAAGAAAGCAAGAGCCCTGTGAGATGGAAATTTCAAATTTCAGAAGGAAGAGGCTCACTGTTGGGGTTAATTCAAAAGCAGAGACCACTCCTTCCTCCAGGAGACCCCCAAAGCCAGGTCGAGATACAGCCCAGCAGCCTCTGCTTTATGAAGAACAAGCTAGCCTGGTGGCCTGCAGCTGAGGACAGATGGCTGAGACCCAGAGCCAGAGCATGCCTCATGGTGATGAACCTTGCCTGGGCTAGAAGCCGCCTTCTGTGAAGAAAGGGTCTAGAAGGGAGCCTGCAGTCCAATCACATACACATCTTGAATTTGTTCTATCGCTCTCAAAAATAAACTATGTTTGCAACAGGCAGAGTAACTGAGGATGGGCCAGGACGAGGATTCTTGTCCATGATCGGGCTTTTCTGTACACAAAGGGCATGACCCCCATCCCCCCAAGACGCAGCCACTGGCAATTTCAAACTACCAAGGCCACAAAGAGGCGGGTGGCCATCCGGGATGACCCAGCTGGGGCATGGGTCAGGACGCATGGAGCCCATCACTCAGAGAGGAGACTGGGGCCTGGAGAAGCCTGGGGGGGGGGGCTCGGGTGGGCCTCTCTCTGGAGGGCCCTGGTGTGAGGTCAGTGGCAGGATCTATGCAGGCCACCTACCGGGCTGGAGGAGGGGTGAGAGCCCAGAATAGGCACTAGTTTAGGAGAAAATAGCATCTCCGATGACTCCCTTTGTTTTCCTTTTCTCTTCTTTTCACCAATAACCTCACAGAAGCTCTGACTCACTTTGAAATGGCCCTTGTGCGATGCCAGGTGGCAGCATGTGGCCCCGCTGGGCGGGCGGCTGACCTGCGCGGGGTATGCGCAGCTGGCACAACGGGTGATCTTTAGATGGGGTGGCGACACCCTGAGTCTGCTCTGGTGGGGTGGGTGTGTGAGGCTATGGGAGAAGAGGTGCCAGGCCCCGTGCTTTGTGGGGTGCTCAGAACTCTTCCAGTCTTCATTGAACACTAAGAGTCATTCTAAGACGATTCTTCTGGAAGCCCGCGGCTCAGCCCAGCAAGGTGAGCACCTAATCCAGATGGGTGCTGATGTCTAGGAACCAAGTAAACATTTGCACCTCCCTCCATCCCAGCCAGGGCTGGGCAGACCTGGGTGGAGCATGGGAGGAGACACACCAGACAGCAGCAGCTCAGCCACCTGTGCTACCCAATGCCTCAGTGAAGGGAATTATTACAGCTGCACACCGTTCTCTGTCTAGGCACAACGTGTCCTCACCCCTCAAAAAAATCTGTAAGCTGAAGCATGTGTGAGAGAGGGTGCGTGTGTGTACACTCTACCACTAAGAAACAGCTTCATCCTGGCTTTCTGGTGGTTAACTGGAGCTAAGAGGCTCAACCAGACATTTCTACCTGGCTGACTTTGAACCAGGATTCTTGGCTCTGAGTCCTGAGTAGCTAAGATTGCAGGTGTGAGACACTGACTCACATTCTGCTTCTGTGGGCATAGACCTACCCTCTAGCTGCGGTCTAGGCGGTCAGAGGGGGGCAGAAAGATGGTGGGGGGGAAGGAGACTCATTGGCTCACTGAGACACTTGTGTCCCATTTAATAGGATGATGTTGATGGGGAAGACTGGGAAAGCATCTGCCAGATGTTACTGTTTAATGAAATTAAAAGCAAATCTGTCTACCTACTATCAACACTAAAAGGTTTTAAAATAGTTTCTTCATTTGATAAGGAAAAGGTTTTTATTTTTCAGGTATTTAAAGTATATAGATTATATGTTTTAATTATTCCCCTTTTCTTAACCAAATTATTGCTCGTAAATCATAAAAAACCTCATCCTAAAAGCCTAAAATAGAGGTGACTGGTGTGAATACAATGTTCTTTTGTAGTAAGATAAATGATTTGGGGAATTCTTAACTTCAGAGTTATGTTGATTTCTGAAGCTGATTTCTGAAGTTGACAAGCAACGTATGTTAAAGTAAAAGTTTTAAAAGTGAAATAAAGAAAAAATACTAAATTTAAATAGGTTTCCCTTGAGTTGACAGAGGGAGAGAAAAATTAATAACTTACATACTTAAAAGTAAAAGTAGACATAGCTCTGTGTCTCCTTTTAAGTTCACTTAACATATTTAAAATTTTCATATCTTGGATTATGATATAAAATGCAAGAATAAAATAGCCTCGTGGCATTTAAGAACTGTAAATAAGCATTCCCATAGGAAAGTTTTCTCCAAAAAGCACAACATAAAACCAACAAAAAGGAGAAAGAAAGGAAAAAGAAAAAGACAAAAGAATCCCTGGTCCTTGAGTTTGGGGCATAAAGATGATTGCTTGAACTCAGCACCTGGGCACTGGTCTGATCTTTTTTGCTCAAGCTGATGCTTTAATTTGAGCCATAGCTTCACGTCTGGCTTTCTGGTGGTTAACTGAAGATAGGAGTCTTACAGACTTTCCTGCCCTGCCTGAGTTTGGAGAATCGCGATTTGAAGCCAACCTAGGCAGGAAAGTCCATAAGACTCATCTCCAATTAACCAGCAAAAATGCCAGGCTTGGTTTAAGTGGTAGGGCACCTGAGTGAAGAAGCTAGGGGAGGCTGTCCTGGCCCAGTACTGGCAACAAAAAGTGCTCAAATAATTTTCCGTCCAATATGCCTCCTGATGTATTTTGGCCATTTTAACATATAGAGTGGATGCTGAGGGTAAGGGCATTGGATGTCACCCCAATGGATGCCTTCCAGGAACGCACATTTTACGTTTCTCTATATGAGTTAGGGCACCTGGGTTATTAATGAATGGCTACGTGGTCCAGAAAACCTTCCTCTTCTCTTTTCTTCCATTGTTAATGAAAACAAAAACCTAGAAAGGCCAAAAATCTTCTGCATTTTCTGAATGAAACACAAGCAGAAATTCCTGAGTGAGGAGAAGGCTGAAGGGAACAGAACCTGACCTAGAGTTCTTGCCACATCTTTGCTTCAGTGAACTTTACATGGAGACAGAGGAAGGAAATTGCACAAGCAATACAGAAAGCAGCTCAGCATTCTCGGCAAGACTATGTTTTAGGCTACAAAAGAAAAAGTTAACTCTGAGCTGGGTGCCATGGCCTCCTGCTTGTGTCCCTAGACACTCAAAAGACAGAACGGGAGGACTGTAGTTTCAGGCTAGCTAGGAGGCAAAGGCAGGGAGACACCATCTCCAAAGTGACTAGCAAAACACTAGGCTGGAGGCATGGCTCATGTGGTAGAGTGCCAACCAAGTGACCAAGGTGAGAAAGAGCACGGGGATTCTCAGTTCAAACCCCTGTACCAGCAGGGGGAAAAAATCGGATATGCGAGGAAACTTGCATTAATACACTTTGTTGACTTTCCAACCGGCTTTGTTTTAATGACAAAGGCAAGACAAAATTGTAATTTTATTATGGAATAAATGATACATTGTTTTCCAGTGTTCTATGACAAGAGAGAGAATGCTGGGAGAGTTTTTTAATTTCTTCTTTTCCTATCCAGAACATTCACTAACTGCCTCTCATTTTCAGGCAATGGCCCTACAAAATTAAGTATGATTTTCCTCCTACTAACAAGTCTGCAAACAACTCTTCAACGGGATCTTCTCTGTGAGCTGTAGTGAATGTGATCTCATTGAACCTAATGTGCTTTTAATAGTCTCTTTGGCAAGATGTTGATATTAAGAGGGGGAATGAAATACCCATGCTATCACCTTGAGTTTGCGATTATGCCTTGTATGTAAGGGTTTGAAACGCTTCAATCCCATTCTCACTCAGTGTTTCCCTGAGCTCTAGGGCCGAGCATGCGAGGTGCAGATTGACTCTGGGAGCTCAGCTGAGTCCAGGGCCCCTGCCTGTCCCCCACCCTTCCCCAGGATGCAGCCAGCCCTCTGGCCAGCCAGGGTGCCTCCAGGGCCCACTGTGGACCTGTCCTCACTAGCCTCGCCTCCTCGCTAGCTCCCATCGTGGCCTGTCCCCTCACCTGCACGCCGTCAGAGCCGGGGACGTAGCTGGCTCTCTTGAACGTGTCTGTGACGTTCCTCAGGATCTCCACAGACATCAGGAGGTCGCCCGCATAGAAGTTCTTTCTCTGGGTCAGGTCCAGCAGTGTCTTGGTGACCTGGGACATGCCGTCGCCTGCCAGCATGCGCTGCCCCTTGGCCAGGTGCTCTTTGATCTGTGGGGTGAGAAGAGGAGACCGGCCTCAGGCTCTTCACGACCTCTGCTCCACACATCTTCACCCAGACCTGGAACCGCACTGTCCTCAAGGCTGTGCAGTGCCCCACAGAGCCTGGACTGCACCAGCACACAACCCGTGAAGCAAGACCTCCATTCTGCACAGCTCTGCTGGACTGGACAGGGTGTGTGGTTCAATGCACTGGGAAAAGGAACTCTAAAAACATTTTTGCACAGAGTTAAGCATAACAGAAGTGTGAGAAGAAATAAAAAAAAAAATACCAAAACACAAGCCCTGGAACTGGGCGCCGTAACTCACTATAGTCCCAGTGACTCAGTGGTTTTAAGGATCACGGCTGAAGGCTAGCACTGGCCAAAGCCAGGAAGGCGTCATGTCAACAAGTACAACAGGCATGTGGCACAGGCCGTGTAAAAGGTCTGGTAGAATGATAGTTCAGGTAAAACCTGAGAGACTTCGTTCTTGAACGAAGGGCTGAGTATGTGGCTGAAAAGGGAGACTGCTTGCCTAGCAAGTGTGAGCACGTGTGCTCAGACTTCAGTGCCACCAAAATAAACAAAACTTTTAACCATTAGTTTTAATAGCTTTTTATCTGCTTTAAGTAAATATTTTTAATCTTGGTATAAGAAAACGCCTCTCAATTTTAAAAGCTTGCGATGACATGAAAGAAAGGTCACTTTAGTTTTGTTTTTTGTTTTGTTTTTTTTTAAATAACCACAGTGCAAAAGAACAAAAACTAAAACCCCTCAGCCAGGTTTTCCACAGTAGACTGAACCAGTCAGGTAACTAATTGGTGGCCAGAGAAAAGGACATCACTTTTTGTATTTGTTTGTCTCACAATCAGGCCTGGGGCCGGGGGGGGGGGGGGGGTAGGGGGGGGGGGTGGGGGGGGGGGGAACGTATCACACAAAAATGGACAGGTGAGAAAAGACAGATGACATGGTCCTTTCATGAGTTCAAGGTCAGCCTTTGTCTCCACACTGCTAAATTTTTAGTGGAATTTAACAATGAAATGATCAAGAACAACCACACCAGAGACATGCTGAAACATAAAAGCTGAAATGCACAGTTGTGATTCCTAATCATGAAGAAACCTGCCAAAATACTTTAAAGAATGGCAATCAGGCTGTGCACCAGTGGTTACACCTGTAATCCCAGAAACCCAGCAGGCTGAGACCTGGTGGTAACGTCTGTAACCCTAGTGACTCAGTGGGAGATCTGAAGGATCCTGGTTGTATCCACACTGGGCAGAAAAGTTCACTCCATCTCCAATTAACCAGCAAAAAGCAAGGCTGGAGGTATGGCTCAAGTGGTAGATCATCTGCTTAGCAAGTTGGAAGTTCTGAAGTCAAACTCCAATATCGTTCTCCCACTCAAAAACAAAACAAAACAAAAAAAGCACAACAACGACAACAAACAAACAAATAGCAATCAATGTATACATACTAGGAATTTTCTAGAGGTCACATTCTTTATAAACATGATCTTAACACTCCTCCATGTTAGTCTTGAAAGCGCCCTAGAATATTTCAGTAAAGGGAAAAATCTTCTGTGATCTAGTTCTCATCCACTGCATTATGCTAAAGCACATAGCATCTTTAGACAGCTTCCTTCTCCAGGTTCCTCTCCCTGTCTCTCTGCTCCCCTCAGAGGAGATGCTCCCTGAGCCCGCTCCACTCCGCTCTGCACCAGCCAGCGATCTCTCTGGCTCTGGCCCAGCTCTGGAGGCTCATTGCCAGCTTCCTGCAGTGACATCATCTCACACCAGTCAGGAGGCACCGACCTCCACTGCTGTCCACTGCCAAGCCCAGGCCAGAGGCAAGGAGCAGGGCTCTGCCGCCTCACAGCCCTCTCACACCGCACCTCAGTGTCGGGTCAGCGGAGCCAAACTGCTAGGGCATGCTGGTGTGCACAGGTTAGCCAGCACGCTGGTATGCACAGGTCATCTGGCATGGTGGTGTGCATATCATGAAACCTGGACGAGACCAGTCCGGGCAAAGAAGTCTGAAAGGTTGCATCTCAAAGGAAGAAACTTGGTTGTGTGTGCTTCTGTCCAGCCATGCTGGAGAAATAGGAGCATCATGGGCCAGTCCTGTGCTTGGATAGAAAGCTTGCTTCCTATCTCAAAAATAACCCGTGCTAAAAGGCTGGAGGCATGGCTCAGGAATAGAGCGCCTGACTGGCAAGTTCAAGGCCCTGAGTTCAAACCCCAGAACATCTAATCTAAAAAAAGCATGTAAATCTCTGGGAAATGTTTTTCCTCCTCAAGATTCCTGTCAGTGTTGTTATATTTTCCTTTAAAAAGAGAACCATATAGACATGTTTTGTTTGCAGAAGGTACTGGGCCCTCAGACCCTCGGACCGGAGGGCAGTCGTTCTTGTCTTGGTCAGCATCAGACCCGAGTCAGGACAAAAGAACCTTGCCAGCTGGTGGATGAGCGGTCCCTGGTCCCAGCCTCGCACGCAGGGCCTGAATTCCATGACCTGCTCCTGGGATGGCCCTCCAGCTTTATCTGAGAACACACCGGCACACACACCTCCCCGCCCAACACGCTTCATAGCATTCACACAGGGCATAACGATGTTCAAATTTGGATGACACACATTTCTGTCTAGAACATTCTGAGTGGAAAGATATCTTCCAGTTTCTAGATCGTCATTCACAGGACAAGTGAGCTGTGAGACATTCTTTTCTTACCTCAGCTCTGCCTTTCCAAGGCTTCTTGTAGAATGACAAAGCCAAGTCTCTGTGCTAAATTATTCTTTTCTTTTCTGGGTTTTAAAATTCATTATAAATGGGTTTGCTCATCTTGTTTTTCTCTATTTCAATCTGTTCTTTATCTCTCCGACCTCTCCTTTGTTCATGATCTTGAGGCCTGGACACTGAACCTTAGCTTTTTCACTAAAGACTGGATGAGCCATTTGAGTCACAGCTCCACTGGTGGCTTTGGCTTGTTATTTGGAGATAAGAGTCTCATGGACATTGCTGCCCAAGTTAGCTTCAAACCTTGATCCTCAAATCTCCACTTCCTGAAGTCAGTTATTTCTTCTTAACCCCCGAAGCTTGAGTGAATTGCAGATTTACCAGACAAATCCTAGCCCCAAGTTAGAGTGAAGATTAGTTTGTTAATCCATGACTCAGAGCTTTGAGAAAGCGTCCAGGAACTACTTGTGTGTGAGGAGCCTGCCAGTGTATGTGTGTGTGTGTGGGGGGGGGGAGGGGGTCAGAGGCCTGAAGCCCAGGGCTCCCTGAGTTCATCTGACTTCACAGCCTGTAGCCAGGTCTCCCCGAATTCAGCTGACATCCCACTCTTCATCCACAATCTTCCCCTGTAGCTCTGGCCTTGCCTCCTCTTGCTTTTCAGCTTGGCTACAAATGCAGTAGTTGAAATAGATGCTTTGCCTGCTCTATTTATGTAGAACTCTAGGTAAACTATGAAAGTTAGTTTGGGGTACCCACTGTTTCACTGCTGGTATAAACATGCTAATATGCACCTGTCAAAATGTCACCATTTGACGAAATGGAACAGCCCGTATTTGCAGACAACATGACCATATATCTAAAGGACCATCCCCTAGCTACTAGAGCTGATCAACAACTTTGGCAAAGGAGCAGGATACAAAATTAACCCATAAAAATCAGAAGCCTTTCTATAAACCAACAATGCACAAGTGGAGAAGGAAATCAGGAAAACAATTCCATCTGCAATAACCTCAAAAAAATCTGTGAATAAGCCAAACTAAAGGTACAAAATATATAAACTATATATATGCATATATATATATATATACATATATATATATATACCATAACACTTTGAAGACAGAAATAAAAGATGATATCAGGAAATGGGAAGGACTACCATGTTCATGGAGAGGTAGAATTAACACTATAAAAATGGCCAAACTGAAAAAATGATGTACACATTAAATGTACTCCTCATCAAAATCCCAATGACATGCTTCACCAAGGTAGAGAAAACAATTCAACAATTCATACGGAGCAACAAAAGACCTCAAATAGCTGAAGAAATTCTCGGCAAAAAAAGTAATTTTGGTGTCACAATCCCAGACCTCAAGCTCTACTAGAGAGCAATAATAACAAAAACAGCTTGACACTAGAACAAAAACAGACCCAAAGACCAATGGAACAGGCTGAAGACCCTGAAATAAAACTATATACTCAGAGTTATCTGATATTTGATAAGGGAGCCAAAGACATAGAGAGGAAGAAAGACAGCTTCCTCGATAATTGGTGTTGCAACAATTGGGCATCCTTAGGCAGAAAACTAAAAGTGAATCCCTGTTTATCACCAGGCACTAATAGCAATTCAGGGTGGATCAAAGACCTCAAAGTCAGACCTGCAAGAGGGAGTAGGAGAAACACTAGAACTCACAGATATAGGCAGAAACTTTTTGAAGACTCCCAGGGCATAGCAGAGAGGAGACTTGACAAATGGAATATGTCAAAATAAAAATTTTCTGCACAGCTAAGGATATAGTTACTCAAGTAGAAAGACAAGCAACAAACTGGGAGAAGGTATTTACCAGCATCAGACAAAGGCCTAATACCCAAGATATAAAAGGAGCTCAAGAAACTAACCCCTTCCAAACTAATAAATCAATCATTAAAGGGGCATGGGAGCTCAGGAGAGTCTTCACAGAAGAAGAGGTAAAAATAACAAAGAAACACATGAGAAAATGCTCATCATCCCTGGCCGTTAAGGAAATGCAAATCAAAACAGCTGTGAAGTTCCATTTCGCCCTGGTTAGATAGGCCAACATTGTGAATTCAAACAACAAATGTGGCAGGGATGTGGGGAATAGGAACCCTAGTGTACCCCTGGTAGGAATGTAAACTAATACAACCACTCTGGACAGCAATCTGGAGGATCCTCAAAAACTAAACATAGACCTTCCCTATGACCCAGCCATACCACTCCTGGGCATCTATCCAGATCATCATGACTCAGGATACCATA